TGTGTATGATCAGCTAGTTTTGCTGCAACAGGGAAACATTCCTCTGGAAATTGTTGGTACATAATTAATTGACATGTGTCTATTTACTACTTGACAATGAGATGACTAGATGATGGCCTACCTGGGCGAAACCACTGCCACTGTTCAAATATTAAAAAACAGAGCCCGAGTATCATCTGCAAAGGTGGTGGTGGAACGTCCGGCCTTCCATTTTTATTTATTTATTTGTTTAACTCCTGTAATCTCTTCTCACTAGACTTGCTGTGGAGAGCTGATCTGAATTACAGATCAAAACCTCAGGATGTCTAAATGTCCCTAATCCCTGATGGGCAGAGTGCAAGGAACTTTTTTTAAAAAGTAGCATGAACCAAGAGTTAACAACCTGCATTAATGACAGAATGAAATAGAGAAAAGCTTGGGGACTGATTAATTCAACATGCAGATGAGGGAAAGATAGAGGGCAGAAGATAAGAAGCAGCAAGGTTTGTTTAAGGATGGAATTCCTGAAGTGTGCAGTCAGAAAAGACATGGTTCAAGAAGGAGAGGGAGAGACTGGTACAGACAAAAGGAGCATGAGAATGAAAATTAGTGCCACATACTCGTTTGGTGGGATACCATCCACTATTGTGACCATCTGTGGTCTGTGTAGTTTGGCTTGGTAAGGCTGATAAGCTGCTGTAGGACCAAGTTCTTCTGCAAATTCACTGTTGCAGACAGCAGACACAAAACGCCCTATGAAGAAGGGCCCAGTCTGCTCGCTTGTGAACTCAAACTTCACGGCAAGAGAAAAGAAGCCATACTCCTGCGTCAGGCAGTGCACCAAGATTTTAAATGTTGCTCCTGAAGACAAGAAAGCCTCTTTCATTACAAGCAAACAGGGAAGATCAGTGTGCCTGTTTTCTTTGTGCTCTTATGATCTCTCTGAAGTACAAGAAACTATGTGAAGTTAAGAAACTGGTACACATAACTCTTTCAAAGTATACACCATTTAAAAATCACCAACAAACCAGGATCTGTGGCCAGAATCCTATTACTTAAACTCATTAGATAGTTTACTACCGTACATCAATTGCACAAATTTGCAAACAAGATATACAAGCTTCAACTGCTTAACTGGCAGAAATTTAGTGCTGAAGTTAGCCTTTGGAGGTAATAGGATTCTGGCCTGTGCATATTTGTCATTTGATTCTTTATCAGTTATTGAGTAAAATACAAAACTTATTCTTTTTCATGTGGCAGTATTAATACTGTAATTCTGTTCTACTTAAAACTATTACAAAAAAGTTGCACATTTATAAGTCCTCTATAGATAGTGCTGGAAACAATTCCAGATCCTAGAATTTTTAATTTTGGAAAAGTGACAGGGTCAGCCAACTGTTCCTTTCCACATTTCAAAATAGTGATGATTCTCAAAAGATATGGGCATCACTACTTTGGTGTTTTAACTCCACAAGCCTGGAAAATTACTTGATATAAATATCAGGAAATCTCAGAAATTTGAGAACACCTTTTAAATAAAGCTTTCATCAAAAGATGCACTGGAGTTTGGAACATCATTAAATAAATCAACAAGATTTTAATAATATACAAGGGGGATACTGGGGAGGGGGGAAAGATAGTGGTTCTATGGGATAAATGTAGTAGACCTACACTTTCCCCAGTACTTCTTAAAATAATTTTTGCCCATCAGTCGAGTCTTTACTATGCTAAATGCTGAATCACACTGAGCATATCCTCAATTCACTTCAGGTGACCTTCAAAACTCTGCTTCACGTTGACAAGGGACCCACTCCATCATACACATTTGAAATAGCAACACCTGCTTCTAAAGAAATAATTATACTACTGGATGTTTAATTTAAAAATTCCAAGATATGTACTCCTTCCTTCTCTTTCTCATAGTGCTTTGGGCCAAGTCTCACCAAGGGTTGTCAGAATGCCTGGAAAAAATATCTGCAGAAAAGAATCAGTCATATCTACTGCATTGGTATGAATGCTCTTCGCAGCTGGCTTTTAGGACCCACCATAACATCAGTGAAGAGTGGAAGGGTTCTAGAAATGTCTTTGTAGCTCTCTGCCTACTAGATTTCAGTGGGATGTTTTCAGGATTTATAAAAATTACTTGTTTTTACTAAAAATCCCAACACCACTCTGGAAGCCAAGCTATAAGCCAACAATTTTTCAAGATGAGGATATTTAACATTTCAAATTGTTGCCCATCCCAATTCCCTTGATCCAGTCACACAATCTAATTTAACAAATACATGATAAACAAATACATTACCTGGTGGTAGTCTCAGAGGTGGGCGTTCAGAAACCTCAATGGTGAACTCATGTTGTTTATTTAGTTTTCTGTACTTGCAGAATGTCACTTCATTTTCCCCATTATTCTTTACTGAAATGGGGACCACTATGGGCTTCTTAGGGGACACATGGAAACGGATTTCCCCATTTCCCTGGTCAAATTTGGAAACAACCTCTACATCATTCTTCATGGAGAAAAATTCTGCTCTGAAGAGGAGAGACTGCAGAGTTAGGAGTTTCCCCACAATACCCCATACCACATTAATAGGGATGGGATCAATTAACACTAACGAGTTCTGTACCATATTCCTTCCATACCTTTCTTTCGCACGTGAATGGCGGGGAGGTGGACCAGCACCTGGGCTTGGGTCTTGCGCAGGCTGTTCCCCAGCATCATTCTGTGGTTTCCAGTACTGATCAGTAAGCTTTATTCTCCTCTTTACCTGTAGATGGGGAGCAAAGAGCAGGAAGAGGATGATTTCTAGCAACTGGTAGGACAGAGTGGGCAGTTAGTGCTTCACAAGCAAATCAGGCATGACCTTGAAATGTACCAAATGCAGATATGACCATGGGCCAGAATTGAAAATGGTACACTCATCTGCATAACTGCTGTCAGCAGTAAAACTAGAACAACACCATTTCCTTCCAGTGCATCTGGAGGACTGGAACACCCTCTGGAGCCTGCTTCCATGTCACACTGAGGGCTGCAGGGAGGAAAAGGAAGCAAGTTCAGTTGTGCAGATGTTGTAAAGTCAGCACAACATTCCATTTAGCCCAAAGTATCTGCATGTTTCTGTTAAAGTTGTGAATCGCTAAAAAGAGACTGGGAGAGGATAGTCTCTGAAGATATAATAGAACTAGGGTTTATACCTTGATAGACCTGAGAAGACTTGCTTTAATATCTATTGATTCATAAGGCCCATAAATCCAGGCAACCCAACGCAATCTATCAGGTTGGGAACTAAGAATCACCAGCAGAACCATTTCTTACCTTTCCAAAATGCACCAATTTCCCTTGAATTGTAGCACGGCCACATACGCCTAGTACATAGAGCACAGAGGAGAAGTTGGGTCTGTTTTCATTATCTCTGTCCAGACAACAACAAAAAAGGGTTCCTCTGTTATGCAGTAGCAAAGGTCAGCAGGATCACTCTGATGAATTCAAGTGTCCCAACTCAGTATGGCTCCTCAATACCAGTTCTATACACATTCATAGAAGTTTAGGGGGGCATTCTTTCCTCCTCTCCCAGTACCTGCGGCTACAAATAAATTCTTTTCTGTGCAATTCTTGAGGCACAAGAGCTCCACAGTGTGCTAATGTTGGATAAATCCTCTCAGCTGAGGCTAATGCATCTAGCCTACTGCTGAAGAGGTAACCCAACAGACCAAATCCCACTGTGGACATCTCACTTTCACTACGGTTTCTAAGCAGCTAAAAGGAACCTCCTCTGGACATGAGGAAGGCAAGCATCTCATACCTCTTAGCTTCTCCATACCTTGCAGAATTACAGATCATTCTATCTCCCTCCAAAGTCCTCTATGAATGCCAAAGGATTCAAAGGCAGAAGGAAGACCAGTATCAGCCTGAAATATTGGTCAACAAATAAGCCAAGACAATAGTAGGGGATCTGTGTACTGGGGTAACTCTTTTTTAATAAAATTGCATTAGTCAATCCCTTAACCAAAGGACAATCTAGTAACAGCTGTTTGGCCCACAAGAACAATCATTAGTAGAATAGCCAAAGTGGAAACCTAATTGCCAAACTGGAAATACTGTACAAAAATATCTTGCTAAAAATTTCATCTGCAGAAACCTTTGTCTGTAAATGTAGAATTGGTTGCTTGAGACCTGAAATCAAAGATATTGTTAATTCAAATGCATACTGCACACATGCTAGACTTTGGTTAATTAGACCAGTGGTTCTTAACCTTTGTTACTCAGGTGTTTTTGAACTGCAACTCCCAGAAACCCCAGCCAGCAGAGCTAGTGGTGAAGGTTTCTGGGAGTTGCAGTCCAAAAACACTTGAGTAACCCAAGGTTAAGAACCACTGAATTAGACAATCAGTAATTCAATAATATTTGAATAACCCCAAACTAGCTCCTGAATGCAGACAAATTCCTGAACTGTTTTCCACTAAACTGTGCAGTTTACAGAGTTATCTTGTGAATCCAATCTCCAACTGGACAGATTTTACACTAAAATTGCTACAAGATACTGACAACAACACCAGAATAAAGGAGCCCAGGAAAGCCAATCAAAGACATTCTGATGAGAGGTTTAAGAAAAGCACCAAATCTGGATTTTGCTCAGAATTTAGAAAAAGTCAGGATATCCTATCCATTCTAACAGCATCCTGATATACCGATATATAACATGTATATATTTAATCACTGCCAAAATCAATTATGCTTGCAAAATGAAATGTTGTGCCTCTGGGCCCTGCTTGAGAAATGATTAGGCATTCCTGAACCAAGGCCAAAGAAAAAGGAGCGGACAAGTCTGACACTGGAGATAAGGCATAGACAAATGATCCCGAGGATGAAACAAACATCTGCAAGGAAGTTGGGATTAGAAGGACGCATTATGCTCAGGTAGAAGGAGCACCAGCTGAAGAAAGACATAGTATTTAGGCTTTGCTCTTATGTATTTATACTTTGCTTTGATCAACCTATGATATATGGTGTTTGCTGTATTCAATTATCTTATTGTATTTCAAGTAATTAATATAGATATATTTCAAGTAATTAATATAGATGAACAAATAGTTTCCTCTGGAAACTGTTGCAACAGAACAAATTATCTTGAGATAAAATTGTGAGTTAATAGCACCCAAGTTGTGCCTTTTTGACTGGCCTAGTAATGAAGTTAGTAAAATATGGGATTTTCTAGTTTATCTTTTCAAAATGTAAGCTGGCTCCCCCAGTTTACTCTTTTCTGCACTTCAAAGACACACTTCTATATGTCTATGAAAAGACTTCAGGCACAGAATTTTCAGTGTCACATTCAGTTTTATTCTGTTACATCTGTTACATTCAGTTTTATTCATAAGGGGGGGAAAGCATGGCAAAAGAAGAAATAATCTTGTACAGCCCTAACACACAGTGCATACAAAGTGTCTCAAGACTCTTGTTTTCTTTAGCAACAAACTGACATGCTATCCTCTGGACTCTCTGAGATGGAAAACAACTTTGTAGATTATTGCAGGTCATTTGCGAGGATCAGGGGGGCTAGGACAACAGAGCGCTTCTCTTGCAAAATCTCACCTCGGACCTTTATCCTCTCCCTCTCCCCCCCTCTCTCTCCCCCTCCCCCTGTTGAATTTAATATTCAAGATATTAAAATGTTGACATCCAAAACTATAAGTCCTAAAGCAAAATGTGTTACATCAGCAGATTGTATACACTAAAATGCTCCACTATAGGAAAAAAAATCTGAGTGGGGATGTGCAACAAACACACTGGGTTTCAAAAAACTATTTGCTGCTTCTCAGAGGCTAATCAAGGCTTAATTGTAAGCGGTTATCTGCTCTTTTCATTCATGATGTTGCTCATCTTCCCATTTGTCTCTCCTCAGGGCCAAATGATTTTCACTAGTTTCCTAGGGCAACCCTCTAGAGGGATTTCTCAGCAGGGTCTTTTGCCTTTTTATTTTTCCCTTTGTTTTCATTTCCTGTCCTCACTGTTCTGACACAATGGAAGCAGGCCTTTGCATACGTGGTCTTCATTGCAAGGGTTCCTGGCACCCATACATAGGAAGTCCACCAAGTATGTGGGACACAGACACCCAATATTCTTAGTTCGTAGCTCTGTTTCACAATCCTCCCAGTTGGCATGGGATGACCAGGTTTACTAGTTAGGATGATGCTACATTCAATCTTGAATTGTTCACAGCAGACTTCCTTAACCTTTTAAGACTCTGCCTACTTTTGCTACACCTTTGTTTCATCACCATGATGTCAGTATTCAAAATCACTCAATACACTTGCATATGCTTCACACTCAAGGCTAAAAGACAACCTTTATGAGCTCTCTCTAGCATGTATACAATTCTTTATCCATTTATCCCAATTCACTTTTGCTTTCTCATTGCACACAATCTTTTATAAACTCTATGAACAGTAATTGGTACGGTTTGGGTCTTCCCGTCTTTGAAGCCATTTAGATACCATATTTTAGTATGAAATGCTTCACAAACAACCATGTTACTATCTCCATTCCCTCAACTATGCTCTTTAGACTGGGACGTCGTCTTCAAGATAACTATTAAACCCAAATAAAAATCTCTTTCAAAAGTAGCAGCAGAAGAAGTGCTTCCTTCACACATTGCATTCATCTGAGTCATTCAGTTTTTTACCCACTCTTCAGCTGTAAATTTTCTACTCAGAAGGAAGTCCCACCATGTTCAATGGGGCTTAAGACTACATGCTTGCAGTCTTTGATCCTTAGCTTTGAAAGACAGAAATCCACAAAATAGCTTTAAGCCACCCTGAAGCCACAGGGCTTGGAACCGAGTTACCAGTGCAGGCACACACAAAATACACTGTCCACTCAGCTATTTCAACTGGAACCATTCTACAGCCAGGTTATTTCTCTTGGAAACCAACCCAACAACTGGGGGGGGGGGGGGGGACACACAGACGACTATGTGGTCTGGGGGCAAAGTTCAGATTCAGAGTTTGGTTAAAAAACAACAACAAAGTCCACCAGGATTCTAACTTCTGGTCAATCTGGCAACAAATACTCTTCTCAACCACATTTTCATCCAAGCCAGTCTTCAATCTGCCTCTCCCATCAGTGTCCTCACAACTCCTTTCTTATCTACCTGCAACACAGCCCTTGCTGAAGTTCTGTTGTGTTTCCCGGACACAGCAGTTATTTCTACTGAGAGAGTTTGGGCGGAGATGATTAACCCCTGGCCTCCCCTTCCAATTTCCATCATGGCCACCCAAAGTAAACCAAAGGTTCCACTAGCTCATTTTAAGCCCAGCGCCTAATAATCCCTGAGGGGTACTGCACAATATTAAAAAAAAAAAAAAAAAAAGGAAAGGAAGTGGCCTCTTGCGAAGCTTACTCCGCTGGGGTGGCCTGAGCTGTGTGTGTTGAATCCCTTCGGGGTTTGTTACTCTGTAGCTCCCGGGTTGGGCCCCGAACCTACTAACCTGAAAGCCAAATAAGAGAAGGGAAGCGCGTTCCTTTTAGCACTGGTGCTACAACACCGCCCTCAATCCTTCCTGCTCTCCATTCATCTCGGGGTGGACTTTTTTGTTTCGTCTTTTTCTCTCTCTCTCTCTTTTTTTTTTAGGGTGGTTTGTTTTGTTTTTGTCTTGTGTTTTTTTTTTTACCTGTACCGGAACTCTTGGTTGTAGATGGTCTTCAGTTGCTCTCTGTCCTTTATCACTTGCCGGCCAGAGTCCTTTAGGAACTGTACAAACTGTTCTCCGATCGCCCTGGTCTCTTTGAGCGTTCGTTTGGGCATTTTGAGCACACCTTCGCGTCTTCTTTCTTCCTCCTTCCACTCACTGGGTGGCAGCGGGAACACCCAACGCCGCCAGCTCCTACTCTGCCTCCGGGCGAAACCTGCCAAAGGTAAAGGAAGGGAACCGCTTGCCGGAGCGGAAGAAACGAAACTGAAAACGGGGGGCTGGTCCGGCGCGGCGGAGCCTCCCCGGCCTGGCTCAGCTCAGAGGCGCGCCCTCCCTTTGATCGCTTGCCTGCTGGTGGAAGAATGCAAGGTCAGCTGATGGTTTCGCCAGGTTTTATGGCCTCAGCCAAGGAAGAAAGGAAAGAAAAAAGAAAGGCCTGGGGGCCGGACTGCTTGGCATTTCCCAGTGTGAAACATTTTGCTCTGGAAGATGTGTAGAGTGCCTTCGCCTTAGAAAGATGGACTGGATTGGATGCCTTAATCGTTATAAGCAGCTAATTCAAGGATTATGGGTGGACTAGTGTCGGCTAAGAAAAAAAAAATCTACTTAAAGGTTTAAGAAATTTAAGAACAATTTACTTAAAAACATCCATTGCATAACTGGGGGTATTTTCTCTCTTACTCTCTTCCCTTGAGAAAGTAAGAGAGGAGAGTATTAGATTTTTATTTTTTTTACAAGAAACACTACAAAAATGAGTGGACACGATACCAGATGTTTCTCAGAGGTTGACTTTGAATCAAGATCTGCTGTGCAGCAGGTTCTCCCACAACAATAGTGGTGGAAGGCACTACACAACTGCCAGATTAATGTTAGACCATTTCCAATCCTTTCCAGTTGGGAGGGAGAGGCATATTCTAATGCATGGAGAATTTTCTATTGCAGGAAAAAAAACCACCAAGCTTTTTGATATGTTTGTCATTAATTCTTCATATTTGTCACAGTTCCATACATAACAATTATCAGCTGTCAAGTTGATTTGGTCTCATGGTGGCCTGGCTCAGTGGTTTAGATCAGTGGTTCTTAACCTTTGTTACTCGGATGCTTTTGAACTGCAACTCCCAGAAACCCCAGCCAGGACAGCAGGTGGTGAAGGCTTCTGGGAGTTGCAGTCCCAGGACATCCCCAGAAAAAAGGAATGGTAAGGTAGTTCTGAATACTTTCTGGGGGAAAAAAGAAAGAAAGGTTGTCATAAGTCACAATTGGCTTCTGAACAGCACATGATTATTAGTGGGTTGTCAAACTACAGGGTGCTCAGAAGTGGTTTACCAGTTCCTTCTGCACCTTCTACGTGGGTTGGCACTTCTCTCTGTAAGGACAGTGGGGAATCAAGCTCCCAACATCTGGTCTTCTCTCAGTAAGGACAGTGGGGAATCTAAATTCCCAACATCTGGCTTAGTAGCCAGGTACCCAATTTACTGACTAAACTCTTTCTATGGATTTTATTTTGACTGGATAATTAGGATAATTAGGTCTAAACACAGTTATGAATATTTTAGTCATCAGTAACATTTTGTGACATATCATGTCGTTGTCCATGCATTAAAATATTGGCCAAAGCTGTATTGGTGTTCAACAGGGCATCAATGTATAACTTGCCATGGTTGAGGAGGTGCTGGTGCTTATCTTGGTTGTGTACCTGGTCACATGCCCAGTTGTGCACTCAATATGTATCCTGGTACACACCTCACAACTTGGCCACAATTACACAAATCTTACATAAATAAGAGGATTCTGCCTATTATTTTAATCAAAACCAACTTGAATTCTACTAAACTGTTATCTGTAACTTTAGTCATAAAGGTCAGAAAACATTCTGTGTACATGGAGCATCTTCAGTTCTTGTTCCGCTTGCCAGCTGTTTAGGGCTTATTTCATTTGGGTACAAAAGACTTATAACTTTCACGGATTGCTGCCTTGTTGTGGCGAGAAAGCATACAAGTACATTTCTGGAGTTTTAACAGAAAACAACTTAGCCATTCTTACTCTCTACTGTTACACTGGAACTGTGGGTGAGGGCACTATTAAAAAGGCACCATGCATGTTCATTCTTTTTATTACATTTTTATCAAAACAGGTGGTGGTGGACTTCAAAGTTTTGTCCTGGTGCTAAAGTATCTATTTATCTCACTTTAGAAAGTAGAACTTTACAGGTTACCAGAGAATTTGACTCCAGAAAAACATCTACACTTTACAAATTGAAAGTAAGCCAGAGAAGATCTCTCTCTTTAGGCAAGCTTTCCTTGAGTGACTGGCTGCCTGAGTAGGGTTTTAAATGGATTGTTGTTCCTTACTGTTCAGAGTTAATGACGTGGTTGGGCCAAAGCCGATAGGAACGCTCAGATGCACAAGCACCTGGAAGTAAAAGGAAAGTCCGATGCTGCAAAGAAAAATACTGCATAGGAACCTGGAATGTAAGATCTATGAACCTTGGTAAGCTAGATGTGGTCAAACAGGACATGACAAGAATAAACATTGATTTTACTTTTCTGGGCTCCATGATAACTGCAAATGGTGACAGCAGCCACAAAATTAAAAG